CACTTGCGCCGAAGTAAAATAACAACGCTGAACAAGAATCTTAGCTCCGCTAATGCTAAACCACTACATAATAGAAAAAATAGAGGAAGCTAACACTAACTGCTAAGACTGTTAGTGATTACCTGACACAAACCTCTTCTTAGTTTTCTGTCGATTTAATTTGAATGTGGACCACATATATATTTTTTATCAATACAAAAAATGATTTCTCTGCCATATTTTATATTTATTATTTAAATATTAATTGTTAATTTGTTTCATTTTGATGTTTAGCTGCTAAAGATGCTACATGCTACACATGGTGCCTGACACATCCAGCACTGCTTGTATGAAGGGATAGTTTTTATTTAATCTGGGACAGATGGCATGAAAATATACGTTTTACACTTGTGAATTTTTTACTGGACTAGAAATGAGCAGGACCTAATTTAAAGGAAGCTAATTGGGCCGCTAACTGTTTCCAAAGTTAGAAAAAAGCTAATCTGCTAAATGAGAAGCTAGTTCTGGTATTAGCGGAGCTGTTTTCTTACTTCAGAAGGCCCATGATGAAGGCTCTCAGTCTCAAACTGTGGCTGCTGAGTTCAGGACACTGTCTGATTTTTGAGACCAGACTATGAAGGACCCTGGTGGATGGACCTGGACAGACATGGGGACAAATTAAAAAACATTGCTCCTCCACCATCCATGAAAGTAAAACTCAAAGTACCTATTCTTGTAGAAACCTCCACCACTTTCCAGGAATGATTGCGGCACTGCCCAATAACATAATCCAGCTTGTGATCCCTCAGACCGTCTTCTAAAATGTTCTGGATTGCAGGACACAGGTGTTCCAGGACCAGACCAGCAACCGTGGGACTGCAGGAGCTGTTACCCAGACGCATCTGTGCCACAGAGAAAAGAGCCGGCACAGATTGTTCTGTTCTGTAAGACCTTGTGAGTCCAGTTATTCTACACATTTGCTCTAATATCAGTGTCTTGCCTCCCTGCTTGAACACATTGTTCCTGGTGCTTAGTTCTGCTGATTCATACCTTTTCCTCTGGGTCTCTGCTGCGTCCGAAATGAGCCATGATCAAATCCACAGCGCTGCTCACAGACCTCAGCAGACCTAGAAACATTAAATATGAAGTTGGGTCAATCACAACACACACTCTGTGTGACATCATTAAAATGGCTACAACTGAATGATTTGTAAACAAGATATTAGTCTACAACTCTAGCATGAAAAGTGGCACACAATTAACATTACTTTAAGAAATGCCAAAAATTTAACGATATTTCTGCTTATTTTTGATAGCTGATGGGATCTGATAAAAATATTCAAGTTATTCAGGAGCAGCTTTTTCCACTTTTAGGAAAATGCAATTTAAATCAGAGACAGAAAAAATGTAATTTCCAACATTTTTACACATTCAGAGCACAAAACTATTCCAAATCTGCTTTTGGGATCCATTAACATTTGCAGGACTGGTAATCTGAAGATGAGAGAGTCAGTTTATTTTGGTTTCAGCAGCTGCTCTCGCTGCCCTGCTTTTCCTTTCTCCATCCCTCACAGAGCAACTCATGCAAATGTCACAGTAAATTCTTTATGCGTGTCGATGCCTCCTGCAGCGCTGCACCACACCGACTCCGCACTTCTGCTGCTGCAGACGCCTCCACCTCTGAATACATGCTCTAAAAACATTCCCATTTCTGTAAATAACTTTACATCAAATAGCCAGTGCGGTGTGATAGCAATTATTAGCTGTACTGCGTTATTCTTTTGAAGACGGTAGTCACACGCACACAAACGGGCTTCAAAGAGCTCAACCAATCCCGTGCAGGGAGAGTTAAAAATAGGTCATGTTTGAGAGGAAGCTCCTTCGGGGTATTGAAGACTCTGCTGCAGCACGGTGAGATTTTATTGCTGCATTCAACAGCGCTTCACTAAAACGATTCGCCAAAGAAGAGCATCCTTGGACTGATTTGCTTCTGCATCTTTTCTGATCCACCTGAATCAGCCCTGAGTTGATCCTCACCTTTCCTCTGCAGATGGCTGATAGACATCGACTCATACGATGTGTCAGGCGACAAGCAGAACTCCGTGGGTGGCCTGTCGCTTGTGATAAGACTCTGGCCGGGTTGACTCTGCTGTGGCCTAGAATCGAGCCCGGCAGTGTCCTGGATTCGTTTGCGTTGCAGGCCCGAAGTAGCCGATGCGAGAAAAGAGGTTAAAGATGAGACGGGAGCCACCGCACTGAGGGTGGATTTAACTCTGCTGTGGAAAAAGCCAGAATCGGCTGCAGGGGCGGTTGGATGCTGTTGAAAGTTCAGCTGAGGTTGTGAGGTTGTATGAGGCTGATTTGAGTTGTTTTCAGATGTTAGGCGTAACGTGGGTGACATTTGGGAGGGTGCTGAATGGTAGGCAGTGTCTGTCGGTGGCTCGTTGGTGCTTCTGGTCTCTGAGGGGAGGTTCATCAGGTTGTAGTAAGTGGGAATCTTAACAAGCTTGGATTGATTTGACGCCGAGTTTGAAAAGTTGTTAGTTTTGCCACAGTTTGTGTTATCTTGTATCTGAACCACGGGCTTTAGCCTGGAGTTCTGTGGATCCAAGCCTTGGTTTTTACCCAGCTGGCTCCACGTGTGTCTGCGGTCGAGGCACTGTGGGCTCGGTGTGCAGGTGGAGCAGGTATCTGAGCTGGATGGAGCCTCCAGGAAGACGGAGCAGTCGCTTCTGACAGGTGAGGACTGAAGATTAGATAAACACTGACTTATTTTCTCCTTGGACTTGAGACCATTCTGGGAGCTGCCAGGTTTGCTGCTCTTCTGATTGATGTAATGCTCCAGTAGACCCCCCAGGTGCTGGGCCTGGGACTGGGGTTTTTCTGTGGGGAGCAGAACAAACGGCTGGATGGGCAGTGAGGTTGGCCTCTGGAGCTTGCTGTAGCGCACCACTTTGCCTGACAGAGAGGGAAATATCCATTTATTTGTTACATTTATTCGTTTGCTCTCCCACTAGGCAATAACAACTACAATCAAATGTCTGTCCTACTTGTTTCAGTAGCGTCTGCGTCATTGTGATCTTGGTTCCGTATCACAGATGGGCGAATGGATTCAGCTCCTGCAGATCGGTACGTGCTGCTATGTGGGCTACACTGGCCGGGCCACAGGGAACAGAGCGAGTGGGAGAAGTTCTGGATGCTGTCTGTATGATGCTTCCTGCAGAAGGCTCCATCAGTGAAGGTGGTGGCAACCTGGTCATCACATGCCTGAAAGTCAGAACAGAGAACCATTTACAAGTTCCAACCAGTTACCATTCCCCCTATTTTGGTAACCGGTATTTTGACAAAGAAACAAAAGAGAAAAATCAGAACGGATGCTAATATCATGAGAGCATATTTGTAACTGGGAAAGCATGTGGTTTCATTGGCGATGGAGTCTTTGTGAAGTTGATTTTTTYTTTTTTTTTTTTTTTTYTTTTTKTAGAGGCAATATTAAAGTCAGAGCAAGATATAAACAAACGGTAAAAACGCTGCAATGAAATCCCAGCAGCACCATAAAAGTATACAGAGTTGCCATTCTCAAATACATCACGTTGGAATCTAAACTTAGCTTATAAAGTAAGGAAATTTGTGTTTGGTAGATTATTTCTTTATTGTAACGATGCTTCTTGGCAATAAACCTTATACCCATGGAAAGCCTTATTAATTTGCCTTTTAAATGGTGCCACATTTGTAAGGATCATGCATTTGTGGGATGAGCTCAGTATGTGGATTGTGCACATAAAAACTTAGCCAAATCTTCTCTTCCAATGTCAGTCAGCTTATTTTGTTGTTGCTATTGACACTTGTGTGAGCTTCCCTTTAAAGGGGAAATTAACAGGCTTTCCAATGGTATACGATTTATTGCCAAGAAGCGTTTTTACAAAAATTAATAATTTACCAAACACAAATTTCCTTACTTTTTGTGCTACTTATACAGTTTTAAACCCATAAATGAGGTAATAAATGAGGTAAACCTGAATAAGTTAAGAAAATAATACCTGTGATCTGTGCTTTTGTTGATGTGTCCAGTTTTAGCTATTTTACATTGTCTGTATTTGTCTATTTAAATCCTAATAATTTAGATATCAATGTTCTTTGTTTCTTTGTTTAACTAAGAGAAAAATAAAGTGTCATGTTGTGGTGGTGGCATGAACACAAATACAGGAGATTAAATAAGGATCAGTATTAAAAGTTTTGATAAACTCAAAGGCAGAAACCCAAAGAAGCACAACAAGACATAAACATGAACAAACAGTAATGATCCAATAGACCTGAGAAAAGCCATAGAGGGAATATTCTAGGAGGAGAGGGGGTGGTAAATGGAAACAGGTGTGCTGATTTCTAATGAAAGCCAGGTGGTGTGTCAGGAGCTGGAGCATTTAATGGCAATGATGGAGACAAACTAAGATTTACAATTAAAATCAATTCAAACCCACTGTATTAAACAGAAACACCCTCTAAAACCTACAAGAAAGTCTCCCAAACCATGCACAAACAATGATACAAAGTTTTGTATGAATTTATATTTCAGAACAGTATCCTTTTACATCTGCGTTACGTGTTCATGAATAAATATGTGCTCAAATACATATTCTTGTTTCCAGCCTACCTTCTCAGTTTCAGCGTGCCGTTCTTTCTTTTTAGTGTCAGGAGGCAGAGGGGTTAGGCTGGTTCTGCCCGGGCCCTCGGGGCAGCCGGCGAGGCTGGAGCAGACCGGGCTCGGTGACTGGGAGGAGAGGTCACAGGTCACGAGCTTGTAGTACTTCTGGTTGGTTCCCATGGCCAGCGAGGCCTGGCTTTGAAGACAGGCAGCCAGATCTGAAACCTCCAGAGAGGAGAGGCCTGGGGGTAGCCGCTCCAGGGAGTAAAGGTTGCAGTTTGAGTCGAGACCCTGAGGAGACCGGTGGGACCCAGAGAGACCCGTGTCTTCCTTTAGGGGAGAGTACACGGTCGTGTTATGGGCACGCTGAGTTGGACTTGGAGGAACGGGTTGAAGATCGAGGAACACAGAGCCCTCAGAGGGGGGAAATGCTGGACTGCTGAGGTCATGAGGGGTGGCAGGATTATTGCTCTTGTTATAGATGGCACAGAAGTTCACCAAAACGCCATCGGAGCTGTTGCAGGACGAGTCGCTGCCGTTCTCTGTGTTGGACGAGCACTTGTCCCGGCTGTAGATGCAGCAGGACGCGTTCTCCTGAAATCTGTTCGGGTCCTGCTCCAAACCCACGCAAGACCTGCTCCCGTGAAGCTGGCATTCTGGAAGCAGTGAGTCCGTCTGGTTGGATCGACTCCGACCCAGGCCCAGCATTATCCCTTCATTGCCCCACTCGCTATCAAGGTCTCCATCGGGAAAGGTGAAATTCACGTCACCATTACTTAGTGACCAGTTAGAACTTCCCTGCAAAACAAATGATGAATCCTCATGATATCTGTGGAGATTATCTCCGTCGCTATCCTCGTCCTCATCATGCTCTGTGTTTGGAAGGAAGGAGTTGCGGGAGCGGGCAGTGGCCTCCTGCCTCGGGCGAGAGCTCGTCTCTTCAGGGGACGAGGGGGAGTCGTACCTCCCGCTGCTGTCGCTGGTTCCTTCCTCCTCTGCCCGATCCTCGATGAGACTACCGTAGCTGCTGGAGAAATGCCTTTGTCCTGTCAGGGCGTGCTCTCTGGTCGACGTGTCCTGCTCCGGGAGAGACGCAGCCCGGGTCAGGCCCACCGAGCACAGACCCCGGCTGGGTCTCTTGCCACACAGGGCCTGGACAGGAAGCTGCCAGGTGGGAAGCTGCACCACGGGGAAGTGGCACGCTACCAAGGTGTCCCCCGAGAGACCGGATGCTCCAATCATGCTGCTGGAGGAGGCTCAACCATGGATGCTGACCAAAGGGGGAGAAAAAAAAACTTTTTTATAAGAGTTTGGATAATTAAAAGTGCAGCAACAGATTCATAATTCTGAATCCAGAAGTACAAGAGTCACTGAAGGAATTGTCCAAATAAAATATATAATATTATGTTTTCGCCTGTCTGTTAACAAAATATCTAGTGAACCACTGGGTAAGTTTTGATGAACAGTCAACTGACCTTAAAAAAAATACAAAAATGGCTCTAACTCTGTAAGTTTTACAGATATTGAGTTAAAAATTGATGTCATCCACAACACATAAACACAAACAATGCTCTTTCTTTGTTTAAAGCTTTTAGCTTTAAGTAATGCCTTAAACCCTGTTTGTCTGTTAGCAAAATATCTCCTGAACTGGATGGATTTCTATGGAACGTTCAGGAAGTATTCAGTGGATGTACATCTACTAAACTTTTAGTCATTCCAATTCAAGATGGCTGCCCCCGCTCTTCAACATTATCTACCAGATAATCTGCTGTATCTCAGTCAGTTTTACAGATATTGAGATGAAATTTGATGTAGCTGAAAGTCTGTTTGACCCAAGCAGCTACAAGTTTATTATTATTATTATTTTAAACAGGACAATCCTTATTTTATTTACAGTAACGTCCTTACTGTCAGCATCATCTACTTTGTTGAGGAGAAAAATTGATCTGCTTGTCAAATTCTTTTTTTATTTTCTGGCCTCAAAGGTTTTTGTAATTTACTACTTAAACAGATTCGGGGGTAAACACTGCATGTGTCGCTCTTAATAATATTACTTTCAAGCTCTCGTTGTTGCCTCTGGGACCTAATTAGAGTTTGTTGTGCTTTAAAGAAAAAAAAACACAGCATCTTTAAAGTTTGGAGACCAAGCAACACAACAGGACAGGATAAGATGAAAACATAAAGCAGGACTGCGAGCTACAACTGTCAGAGTCTCTGCCGGCAGTCCTCAAAGTCTCCCTGTGTTTGCCTCTGGTCCCTCAGCGCAGCACACGCTCCATAATTCAGGGGATCATTAACAAACCCCTCCTCTCTCTGCTCGGGCCAACCACAGGCTTTCACCATTTCTGCTCTGTAACTGGGGCAGCTGCACTGCAGAGATGCTCCGCTGGCTCCACCAAGACGTAAATCCACTTTTCACATCAGTCAGGTTCCTTTAAATACTTCGGCTGTTTTCACACACAGGGAAAAGTTGGACATTAAAATATAAGGAGTGAGAAGAATGATTTTCTTTCTTTCTTTTTTTTGTGAACCAGCTTCTGTTGCAAAGAACCACATCTTTTTATGGCTCTACAGAAAATCTAAACTCAAAGGAAAGTTATGTTTAGAAAAACAATTTTAAGTGCTGCATGCTACTTTTAGTCAAGCAGTTATTTAACGCCACATTTTTCTTGCATTTCACAAAGAATGAAGTCTCTAAATGTGCATAATTTGGTGCTATTTGCAGGTGGACCCACATAATTTAAGGTACTTTTTCACGTCCCGGTCAAACCGAGTTTACTCTTTTGACTTTGAATAAGCTCACAGCACAGAACCATTTTTAGACCCAAGCTTCCTTATAAATAGAAACAGGTTGGGCTTCAGGGGAGAAACGCTGTCTTCCTGAGGCATTTGTCTTTGCTCACGGTGTGTTGGGTTTGTTCGCCTGGTTGCATCAGACACAACATAAATGCCCCCGAGAGCGAAATGCATGACACACAGCTATTTTTATTGGAAATATCAGGGAGAGTTCACGCTTGCTTTTCTCTGGATAAATCTCAAGTCTTATATTTAAAAATAGTTTTTTCTAAACCACTTAAAATCAAAGTGTTTTGCTGTGTCTTAACCAGGATTAATGCCTCTTGTAATTAAACGGGAGAGAATCTTGAGTTATCCTGTCCCCACTCATTTTCAGTCGATTAAATCCCTTGAAAAGTAGGCCAGCATGAGAGAGCGGTGGTCTGCAGAGTTTCAGTCCTGCCTTCGTCACAGCGGAGCTGAACTGCGTCTCTGGATGTCTGTCACTTCATGTTTATCATAAAGGACCAAGTCTTAAAGGCAAAACCTGAGGTCCAGCATGACCAGGAAGCTGCTTATTGTCTAGGATTTAACCACGTAATAAGACTGTAATGTCTGTATCTTATCAGAGATGTTTGACCACATAAAACAAACTAGATCATCAGACAAGTTGAACGGCTGTGAGGTAAAGTTGGCCAGACTCGGACAGTTTGGACATGTCCAGAGGAGGGACAGTTGGTAGAAGGACATTAGAGATGCAGCTGCCAGGAAAAAGACAAAAATGGATGTTAGACACAGACAGGGTGAGATGGAGGAGGATGAAAGGCGAACAGCCAAAGAAAAACAACAAATTTGTGCTTTAGTTTTGTGTACCCCAAAGATTTTTTTCTACAATTGTTAAAAATGATAAAATAAAAATGCAGAAGTTTTACTGTCATAAAAGCAACTTTTCCAAACAAGATGTCTTTATTGATTTTCACGATGTCCCAAACTGCAGGTCCGCAGAGTTTGAAATGAAGTTTTTAAATTTTTTATTTTGTTTCTATTAAAAAATAAAAGGCCTGACAAATGTGTTGAAACTCCACTTCTGGAAAGATGTCTTGGAAATTATGTGCAGCAACAACTCCCCCATTGAAGCAGTAAAAATATTAATTTTCCTGTGGCTCAGTTCTGGTCCAATAGTTAATGGTTTGGTGTTGAGTCATCGACCATTTCAGGTTGTAGCAACCAGATCTACATTTAAACATGATCTTATTTGAACCCATCAGAGCTAAAGTGGATGGAGTTGGTAACAGTGATTCTAAGCAGGATGACAACAAAGATGATGAAATGGCTCATTAATAATAATAATAATAATGTAAAAGTAAGAAACAGATGTTCTAAACCCAGGAAAATATAAGAAAAAAGTAGTTTTTTAACACATTAATAAATGAACCTACTTGGAATCAGCCGTCAGAGATGATCCTCTTCTTCTGAAATCATGCAAACATCTTTAGAATAATATATTTATATACTCAGCTATTTTCCTCCCAGAAACCGGAAAGCATGTGTTTAAAAAAAAACTGCCTTATTTCCGGGAGCTGGACTCTGACGGTGGGAGAATCGGTTCGACCCGCCGGACAGACGCTGAACCGGGTCCCCACACCGGGTCTGTGGTGCTGGTGACTCCCCCCTTCCTCACGTGCTGCAGCTTCAGCACCACCGCTCAGACTGGCTGACATGTGACGTCACGACGGCTTCAGCCAATCAGAGGGGAGAGAGTTCTCCGCATCTAAAAGTATCCAAGAAACAAGGTGGAAACACAAAAAGATGGGTTTGATTTTAACAGGAACAAAAAAACTATTACTTTGTTTTTAATTGTGAATAAAGTAAATAAGAAAAAAAAACCTCAGATGTTTTAGGCTATTATTAAGCTGTAAGTTCAACTTATTCTAAAAAACTAAAGTAATAAAGCAGGAGTCTCAGTAGTTCAATTAGACCTTATTGAAGTAAATGGGAAAAGTAACTCACTGAGCAATAAGAACAGGTGAGTGACAGTAACAAAACTTATATTTTAAAACATCTGAAACATCTAACACAGTGAGCACTCACTGATAGGATTTTTAAAATAAAACAAAAAATTTTGGAAAAAAACACAAAAATTTTAAACAGAAAAGTAAAACTGATCATGAGACAATAAATGCATCTCAAACGTTTAATCTTTCTGAAGACTTATGTCGCCATCTGCTGGTAAAACTGATCAATTTGTTGTTTGTTTTTTTACAGAACATCTTTATTGTGCAGATGACAAAAATGCTCTCCAGTAAACCTGTGAAAACATTTTTATTTATTTTTTAAACAGGAAGTTGGAAGGTCCATTTCCTACCAAATCATATATGTAAAATATTCATTAAAAATGAAATTTAAGATAAAAACATTTCAAACTCAGTCAACATGGAATATAATTAAACCTATTGCTAGTAGGATAAACACAGATCAAAATGTGTATTACTGTGGATACCTGTTTTTTCCAATTATTTTTTTACTGACCAAACAAAAGCAAAAACACCTATTGTTTAATATTCTCTATTAATAATTTGCTCTAAAACCCTTACAAAATTGGATGATGACTTATTATAAATACAATAAAAAAATCATTTGATTTTAAACAGCTGTTTTGGTCCCAACATTTAATGCAACAGGAACCTCAGTAAAAAATAGAAGAGGTGGGATAATTTTATTTTTTTGTTGTTATCGAGTTTCTTCTATTTAAAGAGTCACAGAAACAGGTCCTCAATGATGGGGTCATGGAGGTACTGCAATTGTGACATTTTTGCGCAGACTTTTTTTAAGGTGACGTCTTTAAACACGCATTATCAAACATGCAACATGTAGCAAACTGACGAATGGAGGCATAAAATCATGTATTTCAATCAGAAATGCACACGTTCAGTCATAGCCTGACCCTCCATACGTTGTGCACACAACAACCACAGTAATTGGCTGAAAGTCTGTTAGTGCAGAAGTTTTTGCAATTTTTCTACAACGCTGCAGCTCTTAATGATAATCAAAAAACTAATTTCAGTAAACGGGATCCTTCGTCTCTCCATCAGTTTGGGGGACGCAGACTGAAAAACACTGAAGACCCTTAATTTAAATTGTCTCAGTTCAGTCTGAGAAAAAAAAGATATTATAGTCCAGATTCTTGAAAAATGTATATTTGCATATTTACATCATTTACAATTCATACAAATAAATATACATCAATAACGTAAACCAATGAATTCAGAGCTGACAAACTGAGCAGGGATGTTTATATTTTCTTATCAAGAACACACACAGGTTACACAACCTGCCCAACGGTGACATTTCACACAGGAGTAATCAGCTTTTACAGCTTTGTTTTTCTGTTTCCTGCAGGAGCGGGGTGACTCCGGCTGAACGTGCAGGAGCTGAAAAACTTCCATCACGCCTTTAGATGGAGGCAGGGTTGGGGTCCGCGGGGGGAGACTTTTGTTTTTCTCTTCCTGACAGAATGATGTCTGTGTGCTGCTTCTTCTGCTGAAGTATCAGAATGAACAGATGTTTTTCCTGGAAAAGATAAGAAGCAAACTCATTGCAGCTTTTTGACTTTGTCAACAAGAAGAAACAATTCAACTTGAGATGAAAACAACACATAAATATAATA